AAAAAATTGGCAAAAAAATAAATAAATAAATAAATAAAAAAGACGAAAACTGCAAATGAAATGCCATTAAAAGAGATGAAAGCAACCCGACAAAAAATTATTTGCATCTGATGAAGCCATCGTCTTCTGTGCTGTTCGTCAGTTTTTTTTCTGCTTCTTGTTTCCTAAAAGTCGAAAAATATTATTTCTGTCACATACGCCATCACAATCAGCATCGTCGTCATAATCATCATCATCGTCAGCATTTAAAATCAACAATATCATCACCGCCAGTATCGTTACTGGTAGACGCTTCAACCACTCTCCATAGCATTAATAACTTTAGTTTTTTAATAGCCTAAAGCTGTATGAAACTTTTGTCTCAAACGTTCTCCAGTGGTTATAATCATTCGTTTTCTTATATTTGCTGTTCATTAGATGATTGAGTTTAGCAGTAAAAAAAAAAAATGGACGATGCTATTGGAATCATCGTTGTCGTTGGTGGTACTGCTGCCAGCACTGCTACTGTTACTGCTGCTTCTACCATGGCTGCCATCGCTGTTTTTAACGAGCTAAAGGTCGAGAAACCATTAGCTGTCCATTTTGCTATCTTGGCCTTTTCGGCATTTTTATTTTGTTTTGTTGCTTTTTTCTCCACTCCCTGTATCATGCATACGTCTGATGGTGACGATAGCGGTGTAAGCAAAAAGCCGATAATTTGGGCAGAGGTGCTAATGTTATTGTTAGATGATCGGAAGGGCTGTCGGCAAAAAACCCAAAATAAAAAAAAGATCTAACTTTTTAGAGTATCGTAAATTTGTAATATCGAAGCAAAAAAAAAAAGCTATTTCTATTCCACTTGGCAGTTTTATTCAACAAAATTATTCCCGTTGCACTGACAGTCATTTTGGATCAACTGCAAAACAGTTTCAGCAGACTTTTTTCTTTCTTTTATTTTCTTTTTTTTGCATTGTTACTGAAGTGTTTGACAAATTGCTAAACAAATGTATGCGCATTATTTTTAAAAGAAATCCATGCTTGATTTTAGATATCAACGTAAGAATACGAGTCGGTTGACGTTTTAGACTTACGCTTCATGTTACTGAACTGATAAAGAATTATTTTGGGGAAGTCCCGCTTTTATCGGGTTAATTTAAAAAACGTTTAAATTTTGTGGTTTTGGTAACTTTCTTGGCAAATCGGCTTTTTTTTCTGTGCTTATTCATGTTTTTGTCAATTAGAATCTGTTAAAATTGGTTCTTTTTTTCATGTTTTTTCTTCTTTTAATCGTTTAAAAAAGCAGCGATAAAGCAAACAAGCAGTGCTGCTATTCTGTTCTTCTTCCTGCTGCCAGTAGTGATTATTGCTATTATTATTATTGTTATTATTATTAAAAAATTTTCATGTACCGGGTGATATGTTGACATTACGGATCCTTTTGATGATGCCGCTTTGGTTTTTACACCGCCAGCGGACCCGGCAAGGAACGTAGAGATCATTGCTTAGTATATGAGTGAATGCCCAGTAAAAAATTTATAACCTCCATGCTTTCACTGTATAATTTTATATTTCTTTTTGTTTCTTTTCTTTTGAAGTTGCTGCTGATACTATTATTGTTGTTGTTGTCGTTATTATTTCTGTTAGTGTTCGGTGTTGCTGATGCTCCTGCTGTTGCTATTCCTACTACTATCGCTTTTCTCGTCCGAAGCTTTTTGCCACTTTTGTTATGTCGCTTCAGATTCTTGCAACTAAGTTATTCAGCGACAGCAGTTCAGCAGACGGTCAGCAGTTAATACTTATTCGCTTTTTTATGTTTAAGACAGTCAGCGAGACTTTTTACTGCTCTAACAACAGAGCTTGGCACTAATGTCATTTGTACTGTGACGACATTGATCAAATTCCTTTATTCTAAACAGACAACGCTGAAAATGCACATCATAACACCTTGTCAAAGCAATCATTATCACTGAGCTAAAAAATACTTTTGATAACTGATTACTTATGAGCATTAAGTTTTACAGTTGGCCACTGTATTGTGAAAAATTCGCAAATTTTTTTCAGCCATATTCCAAGTATGGGTTTGTCTACATATTCGTTTGTGTTTGTGTAATTGATAGGTGTAAAAAAATTGTGGCATCCTGGTAAATTTTGACGAATATGATTCTTACTTATAGAACGGTACTTTCGTTTTATGGGAACACTTATAAGATGTGATATTTCAAAACAGTGTAAAGAGCAGAAGAAGTAATTTCCGCATTTAAATTCACTAATGCACCCTAAATTTTCATTATTTTTAGGTATTAAATATGCTGTATATTATGGTTTTTCCTAATTATACGTTCAAATCACAAAAAAAAAAAATTATTTTTCTTTATTTCAAGAAAGAGAGAAGCCTTTTTTTTGATTTTAATCATTTAATGTGCAAGTCGTGTATTCATTTGTTTTTTATAGCTTAATTTTGGTTACTGTAAACCTGTTTTTTTTTGGCAGTTTGGAAAAAATTAGCACCGGATATGAAAAAGATTGATTACAGAAGACTGGGAAGGGTGGAGAGAGGTAAATGCAGTAATAGTGACAGCTGTGAGTAGCATTATCAACATTTTTAGCTACTTGATTTGTTAACGATTTTTGATTGATTATTTGACGCCTACAGAATATACGGGGAAAGAAAAAAAAAGTGAATGATTCTTGAACTCTTCAAAAAACCAAGCATTCATTTTTTCTTTTTCAGATTTTTTACCGTTAGTGTCACAAATACGAGGACATTGGCCACATATTTCTATGCTACAAGTTCCAGTTAATTCGCCTCTAATGCTTCCCAACCAGTTCCCCTACATCTTTCGTCCACAGATGCCGCCCGGATTTCCTCCGCAATTATCTTCGCAAACAGCCCCGACAATTTTTCCTAATTATCTGTCTCCCGAACAGCTTGTAAAGTGTTATCAGCACATGTATGAGCAAATTTTAATGCATCCAATGCAAACTCAGGTTAAATTTTTTTCTTTTTTTCAATAGTCCAATAACAAGAATAACTGCCCAAATGAACTCTTGTTCCATTTTTTACCAAACGACAATCTTGAAAATATTTATACTTAAATGACTCAAATCTTTGTTTATAAAAACCAATTATGCATTGCACTTCTGCAAAGTGTTATACAGACGAGGTTAACAGAGAAATTGTAATTTAAGCGAGCGAAAGAGATAAGTTTGGTTAGTTCGAAAGTTGCTAAAGAAACCACATCGTCACCAGACAGTTCTGTAACCAGCGTACATTGTGGTTCCCCGAGTTCCAGCAGCCAACCAAAATTCGACTTCACACAACTTGCCAAGAGTATCGAGAATGAGAAGAAGGTATCAGATGGCTACAGTATCTATAATCACTGTCTAGGCAGCCTGAGTTCTTTAATAAAGTTTTTTGACTTTTTACAACAGATTGAGGGATATGACAATTAGATGAGCATTTGTTGAAGCAATTAGATTTCTAGATAAAACAAGAGACTACAACAAGTGGTCGACGAGGCCCGTTACAAGCACCAAGTACGGCTGCTAGTTTCACTGTTCTGCCATATAACACAAAACCTTGGTAAGTTATTTAGCAGTCAAATCATCTATAACATTTGCTGGTAATCCTCATGAAGTTAGCTCTCAACAGTAGTACATCTGCAGATCATTGAAAAAATTTTACTTTCCAATGAGGATTAAGTTATTTTTTTCTTTATAATAAATCATAACGAAAAAAAAGCAGTATTACTCAAGCAAAAACATTAAGAAAAAACTTCAAAAAATTTTTTTGAAGGTTTATGTTACCAAAAAGAGGCGGTGGTAGAGCTTCAAGGCCAAAAAAGGAGTTCATCTGCAAATACTGTAACCGTCACTTTACTAAGTCTTATAATCTGTTAATTCATGAGCGTACCCATACCGACGAGAGACCCTATGTTTGTGAAACCTGTCATAAAGCTTTTCGAAGACAAGATCATCTTCGTGATCATCGGTAGACTTTAATGACTGTTCTTTTGTTTTGTAAAGCTATGCAGCCAGTAAAAAATGCACCGTATCTTCATTATTTGATTCAAAATATGATTAAACTATGAATAATTTTTAAATGTCAGCGAAAATTTAGCCCAGTGTCACTCTTTTTCAGATTCATTCATTCAAAAGAGAAACCATTTAAATGCAAAATGTGCCAAAGAGGGTTCTGTCAGTCACGCACACTACAGGTCCACTTAGTATCCGCTCATAAAGAACCTGGAAACGAACTCCGAAAAACTCAAAAACGCCCTAGGAGTAATGCATCAACGACCAGTCACCTATCTGAGGTGAATTTAAAATTATATTGTACCATGTAAAACTGTTAAATAATCGGTCTAATTTAGTCAATTGTAAACTGCAGAAATTTTTTCCTTGTAGCAATTAAACGCAATGATTATGTGCAAACTATGTCACTAAGGAAACTCAAAATAATTACATATTGCTTTTTTCCAGCCTATTGAAGTAAAAACATTCCAAAATAAAGGCGCCTGTAGCCCAAATGTGCCAAACCTGGTTGCTGCTACTCCATGATAGACTTATTATGCCGGCTGTCTGTGCGAGCTGTTCCGATCAAATCCAGTACCTCACTGTCCAACTTCTAAATTCATGTTTGCTCCCTACTCCTAAGAACCCACTTTTTGAAAAAGCAGACAAACGGTCAAATGATGCAAAAAAGAAAGAGAACTGAAACCTCTAAAGGCGGAAATAATTCACACTTGACCACAAGCTTTTTTTTCAATTCTTTAAAAGTATTAATGTTTATAAATTTTTATAATTATTATTTTCCTTCTCTCTCCCCTTGTTTTGCATTTGTTTCTGTATTTTCTTGTTATTATATCAACGCATTTGTGATCCTCTCCGTTTTGAACAGTATTAAAGTTGCGCTATTTTGAAGCGCATGAACTTAAGCATTTTTCCTTCATAATAATGTTTCGCCAAAATAATATCAAATTTGTAAAACTATTTTTTCTTAAACTTAAATAATTGATTTCTGTAGTAAATTAAAGTGTTTATTGTGTGCCTTAATTTATCCAGCTTTAAACTAAACCTTTTCACTTTTGTTCTGTTAAAATTAAAAGAACTAATTAATTAATTAAATAAGAAAGTGATAAAGTCATTGACTGGCTCCTTCCAAGTCTTGCAACAAGCAACACATTTCCAGCAGGCTCTTTTTTTGATAGCTATGAATCTGAGATGCCAAATTTGAATTTGGATAATCATAAGAAGACGTGACTAGGGAAAGCTGAAAGGTTTTTGCTCTTCTACTGCCCTTTTTTGAGTATAACAATCACCGGTGGCCAAGTCTGTAGAAGTTTCATTTCAAAGTAGTCGGTTTGACAAAAAAAAAAGAGTGAAAATTCAAAAAGAATATCTGGCAACAAAATAGAATAATTAATCACAAAAATAAAAGGAAGCTTTCCAAGACGATGACAAGCGTTTCATCACAATACAGCATTATCTAACCAAATAAATGAAGCAAGTCAAAATAATAGTCGTTTGCAGAAAGTATAAAGTAAAAAGAAGCTGCTATAGATCCACCAAAATCGTCTATTTGCTGCATACAGTTATTTCTTATGTTTAGATCATCCACTTCCTTAACAACTACTGACAATGAATATGAAATATTCCCTCAACCTAATTCTGACAATTTTTATCCTTATTAACTGCAAGTCTATGACAATGCACTATTTATCGATCGATAACGGAATAAAAAACAGTACGATATATTCTACAGAATCCACTACATCTGTAATACATCCACAGTTGATAATCCACCCAAATTTCAATACATGTTTTTACACTGCCTAAAAAGTTCAACTGTCTCAGTGCTTGTGGACTAAGAACTGTCTGTTGTAAATTCAAGATTTTTTTCAATATACAAGAAAAAGAAAAAAGAATTTCAAATAAACTGTTTAGCAACAGGCACCTCATTTTGAAGCTGCGAAAAAACGCTCTTAAAATAACCAATTACTGCGCACATTTAAACGATCATTGGTTTCTGACATGGCAAAAATTTATTACCTTGCCATGGAAAAATATTTGAGGAGAATTCCTCGTAGTGTGAGAGCTCTAAAAAAAGATGGAAAACTGAGCAGATTTTTCACAATTATAAACTCCAGTTTTTTTTTTTTTTTTTGAAGAATAAATGCTGTAAAACTATTCAGTTTGACTAAGACTCCACGGTACTTAAAGTTTCGAGTTGTACACCAAGAACTGAGAAACACAACTCTAAAAGTCCGCAAGTAGTCTAACTGGTCTTGCAACTACCACGTTCCCTAATCCTTTACAAGACCGGGGATACTTCCAAGAATATATTACATTCATTTTAAAAAAACCAAAAATCCTGAGGACCGACAAAGCAGTTCCTCTACTCCTTCTTCGCCACTATTTGTTCAAAAAAAATTTTGAGGAAATTCTGTTCATTTAATTATAAGATAGATGCCTCCTGCTCAATAGCTAGCGAAAAATTCACTTTTATTCATGGATCGGTAAGCCGATTTTAACTGTCACTTACAATAAATTGAGCCGACAGAAAAACACAACTCAAAAGCCGAGCAGGCAAGACGACAAAATTCCGCGCCCCCTCCCCCCCTCCACCCCCTTTCGTAATCCACAAGTGCAAGCGGTGGTCAGCTGTACAACAAAAGGTGAGAACAAGTTAAAAGAAGCTCTAGAAAACTTATTTTCAGGGCAATCCCTCAGGGCGGCAAAGAAACCTGCAAAAGTCATTAAAAAAAAGTAAATCTACGGTATCCTTTTTATTGAAAGGCAACTTTTCACACTTGATCACAAATAAGAACTTGTCCCTCCCCTAATACTTCGCGAAAGAACGTGCTGCAACAGAACAAATCTCCACATCCCTACCTTTCTTCAAAACTTCCAGAGCTAATGACCCGAACTACTGTGATTGTCATGCCCTAATATTTTACATTCGACACATTCATGTCTTCCTCGCTCTACACCTCTCCCTCAATGCTGCCTTCTGAGATTTCCTTTCCCTGTTGAAAAAAGTAATTTTAATTCAGAGTACCACTACCCCACTACATATACTCCCCTACCACTCAAAAACAACCAAGCGGTAGCTAAGTACCGACACAAATTTAATATTGAAACTTTTCAATAAATGAGGAATATCCATAATTTTCAAATCACTAAGGATCAGTTGAAAACCTGGAATAATTTCAAAAAGTGTATTGAAATACTGCGAGAAAAAAAAAGAAAAAAACCGAAATATTCTACATAGAACAGCTTATTCCAGCAATACATCAATAACAAAACCACCTACAAGTAATCTGATTTACTACTACGACAAAAATCAGCTTTCTGCACGTTCAAATGAAGACAGTTTGAGCAATAATTCTGTGAAATCATACAGCAAAAATGTACAAACATTGCACTCACAAAATAACAATATATTAACATGCTAATTAAATAAGATGGAGAATTTAAAGTGAAAACAAAATGAAAGACATCGAATGCAACAGCACAAAAAACTTGAAATTCCAAACTATCATACATCAAAAAAAAGTTTAATAAGCAATGAGTAAAAAGATTATTCATATTTTGAAATATTTTCATAGTACTCTCGCTCTTGGGCTGCTTTACGATTTGCCGCCTGAACAATTTTTTCTTCAAAATGGTTGGATCGGTCCACAGAGTCCCAACGATAACCAGGAGGAATGTTGAACCGATTTGGAGGATAACTTTTTTGGTACGTCGGATAAACTGTAAAAAACCGTCACACAAAAAAATAAAATCACATAAAAAACTACTGCAAAAAATACCTTCTCCTGCCTTCAATGCCTTCTTCATCTTTTTCTTTTTTATATAATGGAGCATAGGATCATCTTTAAAAAGCATCTGAAAATTGATGACTAAATTGAAAGCAACCGAGGTTTCTATAGACGAATGAGCCGAAGTCAAGCACAAAACACCTCCAGATGGCCTGTACAAAAAAAAATGCAGTTTCCTTGCCTTTCAATCTAATTTTTAAAATAAGATTAATGAGAATGCAACGAGTCCAATAGAACTAAGCTCTTAACTGCTCTAATGGTAAAATAACAATTCATAAACAAATGCTTACTAGTGATAACCAGAAAGATTAGGTACTCAGCATCTAAAAGACCAGTGCAGTTCATTAAACGTTAAAATGAAATAAAATACGAACCTCCTTCATATGAGCGTTCATTGCTTCATTGTCAGCTGTTCTAGCAAACTCTTCCTGAGCAACCCGCGCCATTTCATTCAAGTTCTCGGTCCTCTTAAAAAAGCAAACATTTTAGTAAAAAAATCACCCTTTGAATTTTACCAACAGAGCGCCCAATAACAGTCATCAAAAATAGGAGTTCCCGTATAACAATCTACCTGTTTTACTTGTCGTACACCTCGATTCCAAACTTTATATTTTTCTTCAAGCTCCTGCTGTTTTTTTGCTTCCCTTTCCTTCCTCTCTCGATCCTCAATATTCTCCCGATCCTTCCCTGTCATTTTTTTACGCTGTACAGCAACTGCATTACGCCCAGTGACTTCATCGCCCAAAGTGTCGAACACCTGCAAGCATACAACTTCGTATTTCTAGCGAGAATCTGTATTCCAAATAAGCGTGGCAACAGCATTTAAAGTTTAAAATAAAATGAAGGAAAAAACGACTTCACTGCACAACCTCATCTTCTTTCTTCTTCAAATTACTCAATTCTTCACGTATATCCTTAACACACTGCAGCCCTGCTTTTTTACCATCAAGAGTCGTTCCCTAAAATGTGGTTTAAAAAATGCAACATTCAAAACCTTAAAACAAATTCTTCCGGTGTGAAAGCACTAAAAACTTATCAAACAACTCTTGGCAACAAAAAAGACCTAAAAAAGAATGCATCAATTCATTTATCACAAAAAAAATTAAATTAAATGAATACCGTATTACTTTCTTCCTCTTTCACAGTCTCGACTTTAGGCACTGTACCGCGACTTTTTTTATATTCCTTTGCAGTCTCATCGCGACTTGTTTGTAACTTCACATCTTGCCTCACATCTAGCTTATCCTTTGACAAACCTGAACTTGCCAGTTTTGAAAAAATTTTTCTTCCATTTTGCTGTCATTTTCTATCATCCTGTTCTTTATTACGATTATGCTGAGTAGAAAGGATACAAATCTCTTTTTTAAAACTGAGCGCTTGCACACTAATTTAATTCTATCTTTACAAATGATGACTTTTTGAAAACAAACTTTCGCAGTCTTTCCAAAAACTTCTTACCAAGTCCTAAATCCTTAACGAGTTTCCTAGAAGAAGATGTTGGTTTCTGCTTTTGTTCCTGACCTTGTTCTTGCTGAGAAACTCGGTGGCTCTTCTGCAACGATGAGTAGTACTTCTGTTTTCTTCGTAAGGAGAGATCTGGTGTAGAAGAACGACTCTTTCCAAAAGTTCCTTCGTTTGATGTCACATCTCTTTTTCTTTTTTTCAAAGAACCCTCTTCCAGCCTCTCATCACGTCTTCGAGAAGATGAGCGACTAGAATCAAAATGCGACCTAGATTTTCTTTGTGGGGAGTTATCCGATTGGGAGGATTGGGAGCCACGATGGTGTCTCCTAAGAAAACGACTAGATCTCAATTCAGATCTCGATTTCTTTGGTAAAAAGCTGTTTGACTCAGAATCGTGTCGATATCTTCTAAGCGGTGGACGATCAGTTTTCAATTCAGATTCAGATTTTCTTGGTGGGGAGTTATCTGATTCAGAAGCACATCGACGTTTTCTAGGCGGTGAGTGATCGGGCATGGAGTTAGGTCTTGGCTTTCTTGGAGGACTACCTGATTCAAAATCATGCCGGCGTCTTCTAGGCGGCGAGTGATCTGGTTTGAAGCTAGACCTTGACTTTCTTGGTGGAGAATTATCTGATTCAGAAACATTTCGCCGTCTTCTAGGCGGTGACTGATCGAGCATGGAGTTAGGTTTTGATTTTCTCGGAGGAGAAGTATCTGATTCAGAATCATGCCGGCGTCTTCTAGGCGGCGAGTGATCTGGTTTAAAGCTAGACCTTGATTTTCTTGGTGGAGAATGATCCGATTCAGAAGCATTTCGACGTCTTCTAGGCGGTGACTGATCGGGCATGGAGTTAGGTTTTGACTTTCTTGGAGGAGAATTATCTGATTCAGAATCATGTCGACTTCTTCGGGGAGGTGATTGATCGCGGTAACGACTACTCTGCTGCTTAGACGAAACAGCACTGTTGAAAACAGGGGGTGGAACGCTAGTCTGCAGGTCAAGAGAAGCCATTCCAGCGTCTC